AAGTCTTAAGGTTGCCAAGGTTGGAGACCCCTGATCTAGAATGTCCTTTTCCCTCATGGAGGGCACATCGCATGCTCCTCTGTTGGCTACAACTCTGCCGTTGTGAGAATTTTATCAATGTTTGGTCTACATGCATGATGCAGAATTCAACTATTATCTGTACAGTGTTATAACCGCCCACTCTTGAGTGCCTGAAATGTAGTTAAGACTTTGGAGTCTAGATGGAGACTCACTTACTACTTTCCATTTTGTAGTAAAAATAAATGCTTCTATTCTCATATCTGGCTTCTGCCTATTTATTATTGTATAGGCAACTGAAACTGGAGATGCTGAGTCACTGGTGAACTAAGCCAAGCTGTGGGTGAGGAATTGTTCTTCAGTGGAGTTTCAGCCTGTGTGTCATCTGAAAGGTCACTTAGGATGCAGTTGGGAAAGCAGTCTCTGTTCACTTTTAAGTTTGGAGTTTTCTTACTTTTTGGTGCTGGTTGACATCCATCTCCATGCCCTGAGGGTTAGGTCTGGAAGAACTAGAGGATTGATGGCCATCGTGGCAACTGGCAACCACAGGCTTGTCCCAAACAATCTCTGCTCCTATGCATGCAGATTGGCCTATATTGAACATTAATTTTCTTCACAATGGTTGGGCTGTGATCCTGATGTGGAAAGCATATCTATTTCTTGGTTGTGATCAGATCATTTCCTGGTCCATTTGAGATGTCCTGCCACTGCGGACTTTTGCGGACTATGTAACTTATTAGAATGGTCTGTCCAAGGCAGGTTTCTGGGAGGTACTTGAGAAATTTCTCTCTACCTGATAGGCAGTTTTATTTATTGCCAGGTTGACCTCTGGCATCAGGAGGGTGATTCAGGCTCTTTAACAAGATTGCATTCACTACTCCTAGAGTACATCTTAGATTATTGAGGAACTTTGGGAGAGATGAAGTAGAAAATGTGATACTTGGAGAGTTGATGAAGAAAAACAAGGACTCAACCTGAGTATGGGTGGGAACTCAAACTCATACCTTTATCATGGCAGTAAAAAAGTGCAGCTCTCCATTGTTGCATGTTTGTCTGTTTGTTTATATCCCGCTTTTATTATTTTTACAAATCATTCAAGGTGGTGAACATGTGCACCTTCCTCTTCCTATTTTCTCACAACTACAATCCTGTCAGATGAGGTGGGGTAAGGAGAGAGTGAATGACAACTTGCCTAAGGCACCCAGCTGGCTAAGGGTGGGGGGTTCTAGAACTCACAGTCTCTGCTTTTTAGCCTGATGCTTTAATTATTAGATCAAACTGGCAGTGGTGGACTGTTGATTAGCAGCATCATTTAGTATGTCTAGGGCTTTCTTGGGGAGCATGAGTAGGTGTAGTTGCCTCCTGGCCATTGTAGTTGTTTCATACAATATTTTCGGATATACTTACTCAGAGTTGCTGAAGTTTTGACTCTTTATGGTTGATGTCCAATGAGGTGACACAGGTGATACCTTATCATATTATGCTTTTGGCCTGTAGATTCTGATGATGTAGTCTCTGGATACACTGTGACTTATCCCCATGCCCTCACTTGCTTTTCAAGGTATTGGTGGGGGCATAACTGGCTGGATTTGGAAGGTGACAGTGCCAGCAGTTTTGAAGGAGGCTTCGGTGGAGCTTCTCCTTAATAGATTATCCCTGCATCTGGTTATTTTTGACAGCTATTTGACACCTCTTTTTAAGGAACGTTTTTGAGTGGGTGGTTGGGAACAGTTCTTACACAATCAAAAACAAACAACTTGATGTCACATTTGGCTGTTATCAAAACATGGATCAAATGGAAACTTCCCATTCCACCCAAAAGAGAGTCACTTGCAGTCATGTACACTGAGCACAGGAGGAGAGAGGTGCAAGAATTTAAATATATTGATTGGACTACAAGTAGAAATTGCATTGGACACCCAGCAATTGCTGGAATTCTTTTGTAATGGCTTCTTAGACTTTCCACTGTAAGTCTCATGTTCTTGTACCTTTGGCTGCTAGTCCAGCTCACTGGGAAGAAGTTTGTCAAGGATTCCAGTCTAGAAGACCAGTCTAGAAGAAGCAGATTATTTGAATGTATTTCAGTTAAAGTTCAGTTTTGAGCATAGGACAGAGATGGAGTTGGCCTCTCAAACTGATGATTTTATTGAGATTTGCACAGAAGTAGTGCATTCTTCAAAGGGATGTGGTGGCTCAGTGGCTAAGATGCTGAGCATGTCGATCAGAAGGTCGGCAGTTCAGCGGTTCGAATCCCTAGTGCCGTGTAATGGGGTGAGCTCCCATTACTTGTCCCAGCTTCTGCCAACCTAGCACTTTGAAAGCACGTAAAAAATGCAGGTAGAAAAATAGGGACCACTTTGGTGGGAGATATGGTTATACACACACAAACACACACACACACGTACACACACACATTCAGACATACAGTATTAATGTATATATGTCAACACACATATATACACACACACATACATACTGTATATACATAAATACATATATAAAAGAAATCAGTATTTTCAGGTGCTGTTTTTCCTTGGCACCTTTGGGAGCAGAAGCCTATCAGCAGTCTGGAGCTTCTTTCTTTTCCTTTTCCTCAATGCACTATTTTCTAGTGCAATTACGTTATTAGGTAGCTAGTAAGAAACAGGATGGTGGTTGAGCCTTCTGTTCTTGTCATGGGGCACAGATACAAAATATACCCTTTAGGCAAATCATTGTATGAGTGGACTAGAGGTAAAAATGCACAGAGGGGTGTTTTTTTTAAAAAGGACAAAGTCCCTTGATCTAGAGAAGAATAAACCACTGCATGGCCTCTGTAATGTGCCAGCATTCCATTGTTCTTTTCAGCCTGGGAGGATGTGGTGCGGATCTTGCTGAGCTGTGCCACTTTTCACTGCAGGTGGGGGATCTTAAGTGTGAGGAACAATCCGTGTTAAAAGCGAGAGGGAGAGAGAGAGAGAGAGAGAAAAAAAAAACCCCTCCGTTTCCTGCCTAGTGATACAAATATGTGAGATTCCCCAAACATGACGGTCTCTGATGTGAAGAAACGTTGCCTGTGTGTTTTAAAGGTGTGTGTGATCATTTTCAGATCTACAGTCCATCGCTTGCACTCAGAATGGTAGAGTTTAGATAAATGTACATAACCACAGTTGTTCTTGCGTGGGGTGGGGGTGGGGTGGGGTGCTTGCACCCTGAGAGAATGTTTTCTTCCAGCTCACCCCAACTAGGTATCTAAGAAAGGGGAAAGAAAGAATTGGTGAACATCCTGGGATGTCTGTGTTTTATTTTCCCTTTCATGGGGCTGCTCAGGAGTGTTCTCTGCCTCTTTACTTCGTCTGACAAGCTCTATGCATTTGTTCAGTTCTTCCACCTTTCTGTTTTCGGTGAGCTTCTGCTCCAGTGCAGGCCCGCTGCTCCTGGCCGGCAGCATTTTCTGCTGAAGTACAGGTAGCATCTTGCTCTCTTCTTTCTGGATCATCTGCTGGAAAAGGCTGGCTCCAGGGCTGAGGTGGCTTCCTCTGCGATTCATCACACAAACTAAACTGCCACTTGATTTCACCTCTTCCCTGCCATAGAGCTCCCTGCGGTAGTATTTGGCCTTGAAATGTCCCTCTAAGCTCTGCACTGATAATTTATTTCTACTCGATAAGCCGGTTGTCCTTTTGCAGGCACATGGCCTGAACATCTGGGGAAATCTAGCATGGCCCTATTTACCCTGTTGGTTTGGGATAGGCATATGTTCCCATTGAAACATCCCTGACTAGAGTTGTATGTGAAAACAGCATGAAGCTAGCATTGATACCCAAGTATTCACCACATTCCCCACCCCATCTTTCCGATGATACTTTATCGGGTATCACAAAAAGCATGTAATCATCAGAGAGATGAGGGCAGAAAGAGCTGGGTTGGCTAATTTTCTTAAAATGTTAAGAATTTACTTCAGCATCATTCCAGTAGGATTCAGAAAAGATGGAGTGTTCTGGGGATGCTTTCAAGCAAAGTTCGGTTTATTTAAAAAAAAAAAAAAAGCTGCCTGCTGACAGCTACACCAGACGCACAGCTTAAGTGTAAGTTGCCAACTCCAAAACAGTTCTGGCACTGTAACAACTTTGTCTCAAATGCCTTCAGTCAGAGGTACTGGATGACGTTTTGTTCCTTGTTTTGATCAGGATCTTCAATTCTGCTAACTCTCCTGTGTGGGGAAGTCCTACTACCTCCTGCAGGGAGCCTTAGTAGAGTATGCTTTTCTACAACATTAATACCAGGCATTGTTTCTATACCATTGTTTAATGACTCGGGAACTGCCCCAACAATTATTATCCTAACAACTGTCGCAACAGAACAACTACTTAAGAGATGTTTCCTTTGTAAGTATGCAGACACACACCTCCTCCTGCAGCCTTTGACTCAATCTTGACTGGCTTGGAGGAATGCAGTGGGCCTGGAGAAGAGTTGACTGTTGTTTCCTATGTCTCTTTTTAGAAAGGGAAACTAGAGGAATCAATGTTCTTCTGAATGTGTGTGCAGACCACAGTCCCTGTCCTTGGCGCTCTCTACAGTAGTTCTTTAAACCTCCTTTTGAGGCTAAATTGGACTTTTCTTTGGTCCTGTGGAGGGCAAAAGTGGGATGCCACCTTTCCACATAAATTGGAAGAATACTTTTCTTCTCAGGCAGCTTTGGACTTTCTAGGCTCAGAACCGACATTTCCTGTTTAGTTTCATGAACTCTCCTTCCTTTAACTCTATTGTATGTTGGGGAACCAAACCAGCCAATAGGGGTCACTGCTACACAGAGAACTCGGCCTATGGTCTCCTTGTCCTGGTTTTTAATTCCTGCCTGGGGAGGAGGAAAGGGGGGCTCCCGAAGCCTAAGAATTTAGGTTGGGTTCTCTCCTCTGTTAAATGCATTGTGAAGGGCCAGCCTCTGCTTGGGTTATAAGGTAAAAGGCCAGGTTATTTGGAACTAATTGGTTATTTTGTAGCCAGGTCTCCATACCAGATCCGCCTTCTGCACCAGCCTTGACAGTGGAGCCTGGATATGGTAAGCAGGAACCCTGTGCATGCTAAGGAGAAAGGCAGCTGGAGTGGTGGTCCCTCAGCAGGAAAGTTGGGGGTGGGGGGCAGGGGAAACCTCAACGGAACGTCTCTTTCCTGGTTGTGGAAGCTGCTACAGCTTTCAACTCTGTAAAACAGTGAGCTCATTTTAAATTGTCCTTTGTGTGTGCATAGATTAGAAGCAGATTTATTATTTCCCTAAAGAAATACCAAGGGTAATGTTTTCCCAGTGACCCACACACACAGAATCGGAGCATGAGCCTTGCACATTTTGGATCACCCAAGCACCCCATGAACGTGCAGTGCCAGATAAGATACCTTGTGTAATTTCCACCAGGTTCTACTGCTCCAAAGCCTGTACCTATCACAGGCCCTTCCAGTCGTCCACCCTGGGCTGTGGATCCTTCCTTCGCTGAGCGATATGCACCAGATAAAACTAGCACTGTGCTGAGTACCCACAGCCAGCCAGCCACCCCAACGCCTGTGCAGAATCGCAACTCTATTGTCCAGGCAGCACAGCAAGCTCCGGAGTGTGCCAGCAAAACGCCCATCTGCTATCAGTGCAACAAAATCATCAGGTAAGCCATGGAGTTTATCGTCTAGGGTGGGGAACTCATTGTGGTCTCCCTCCGCTGCTGTATTACAGCTCCAGCAACCCAGCCAACATGGCCAGCGGTTAGAAATGCTGTCGGTTGTACTTTAGCAACATCTAGTGGGGCCTTCCTATTCCTTTTTTTCCTCCCTCATGACTTGATTGAGGAGATAAATGTACAAATTGCCTTTGCTAATGAGGATTGAATATGTGTGAAGTGAACAGGAGTCTCAGAAGTGGGCTTTTTGGCTTCCTGCAATATGAGTAATGCAGGCTGGTGAGAGAGAGAGCCTGTCTTTCCAACACAAGAGAGTTGCTGCCAATCCACCACTCACCCTTTCTCTTTGCTTTCCAACAGGGGGCGCTACCTGATGGCTCTGGGACGCTACTACCACCCAGAAGAGTTCACCTGCTCACAGTGCAGGAAGGTGCTTGATGAGGGTGGCTTTTTTGAAGAAAAGGGCTCCATCTTTTGCCCCAAGTGTTACGACATGCGCTACGCCCCCAATTGCGCCAAATGCAAGAAGAAGATTACAGGGGTGAGTTCAGGTGAAACGTGGCCTTCAGGGTAGCAGGTTACACTCTCAGGTATGCTGGAAATTAGGAACATTTAGGAAAGCCTGGTTGACTCTTAACCCTTTAGCTGTCCCTGACTTACAGTTCCCCTCCTTCCACTTTTTTAATTGGTCTGGCTAAGCCAATGAGAGCTGAAGTCCAGAAACAGCTAGTGGGTCACAGTTAAGCTTACATTGTATTAATTCAAGCGTGGTTCATGCTTAGGAAAGTGATGGCTAACATTTTTGCCATCACGTGCCAAAAGCAGGGGTCGCGCGCACCCATAATTCTATGCACTCCCCCGGAGGCCCTCTTGGAGGCTGGAAAGTGGGACCAGAAGTCGGCAAATGGGCTGTTTCCAGCCTCCGGAGGGCCTCTGAGGGGGTGGGGAAGGCTGTTTTTGCCCTCCCCAGGCTCCTAGAGAGGCTCTGGAGCCTGGAGAGAGCAAAAAACAGGCCTTCCCCCAACCTCCCAGGCTCTCTGGAGGCAGGAAATAGCTTGTTTTCCTACTTCTGGTGGGCCCAGAAGGCCCAAAAATCAGCTAGCCAGTATACGCATGCACGCCGGAGCTGAGTTCACGTGCCCACTGATATAGCTCCACGTGCCACCTGTGGCACGCGTGCCATAGGTTCGCCATCATGGCCTTAGGAGATAGTAATATGCTTGTTTCATCAAGGGCCTCATTCAGGGCTGGAACAGAAGTGGGTGCTGATGTGTTGAAGATTAAGAGTTATAAGATAGAAGTTCCTGGTCCGTCTTTCTCCAGGCTTGTTTATCAATCTCCTGCCTATTCTAGCCTCTTCCTTCTCTCCCGATTCCTAATGTGAGCACATGCTGGCCTCGGATTATCAAGATGATGGCTGTACAGCATGTTCAATGCTAAGTGCTCCATAAAGCTCTTTTTTCCCCCAATTATCTCGTCATGTTGGCTAAGAAAGTGCATCCATTCAGTGGAGTGATTCACATTCCTGTATTGCTTTAGGAAATTATGCATGCTCTGAAGATGACCTGGCACGTTCAGTGCTTTGTCTGCGCTGCCTGCAGAACTCCCATCCGCAATCGTGCTTTCTACATAGAAGAAGGGCAGCCCTACTGTGAGAGAGGTACTGCATACCGAATAATTGAGGGATGGCTCCGTGTTTCAAGCTTTCTGAAAGCCTTTAGCTGCTGTTCCAGCCTGATGAGATGGAATGTCTCCTGATTGGTCCTGGTAGCATCAGAGTTCCTTGTACCAAAAAGGAAAGCCTTGAGCAAAACATATATCATGCAATGTACTGCTAGCCCTGGATTTCCTATCTTGGGCAGCAGGAAGAAGTTGCAAAATAAAATACTTGCCGTGCAATTCTCCTCTGTCCCTGATTTGATCACCTTTTGTTGATGGTTGCTGGGCAGTGCCAGTTCTGCTAAGTTGCTATGGAGATGATAGATTAGTACCTGCATCACATAGAACGCCAACGAGCATGCTGGGAATTGTTGTTTTTTTCTCCCCTCCTTTCATTCTGGGTCTGAACAATACTGCTCTGGAATATTCCATTAGGAAATGGGGGGGGGGGAGGGATGTGATTTCACTAACGAAATAGTCACTCCTTCCATCTCCATTCCCTGTTATTGGATGCTGTGAACAAATCTGGTATTCTCCCAGATGAACAAGCAGCTGCCTTTCATCAGAAAATGGGTGGGGACAGTGCACAGGATTCTTAACAGCATGTGTAGCCTTGCTTGACTCGAGTATGAGGATTGTCAGCCATCTCTAGCCCAACAAGCAGCACAGTTGTGTTAGACTATAAGATTAGCTTATAACAGCAGAGAGATGGAGCTGTGGGGGGGAAGGTCAGAAGGAAACCCAGAACAGAAATAGCAGATTTGTAGATTGGACTAAAAGATGGTTAAGTAGAGCTGGTGGTATACTTGAGGAGCTCAGGCACTGGAAAATTAACCCTGAACAAAATCAGATGAACCGTCAATTATTTTTAAGAGTTGCCATGTTAATAACAAATTAGAAAAGCAGTGGCAGAAGATCCTGTGATGAATTTTCAGAATCTTCCCCTGGGCTGAGAAGGACTCCAGTCAGGAACCATGGAGTTTTGATGCTCAGCATTGCTCAAGCAAAATAAAGCTACAGTATATGGATGCTTTTGGGCCTCTAGATGCTTTGGGGCTTGACCTTCCCACCAAACCATCCAATCTACTACTCCATAGGAAATGCATGTTATGGGGGCCAGTGCAAGCAAAGCCCTTTTTCCCAGCGTAGGTACAATACAGTATTATGTTTGAAAACGCTGGCTCAGGAATAATGTCATTTTCCTGTCCTCCTATCTCTCCCCTTTGTGCAAGATTATGACAAGATGTTTGGAACGAAGTGCCGTGGCTGTGATTTCAAAATAGACGCTGGTGATCGTTTCCTTGAGGCCCTGGGCTTCAGCTGGCATGACACTTGCTTTGTTTGTGCGGTAAGACACTTTCCTCCCCTCTTTCCTTCTCTCAGGTTTTAAGTAATTCTACTATCTTCTGCTGCACTTCAGGGAAATGTATTATAAAATAATTGCAGGCTATTATCCCCAGCCAGGGGCAGGACTGGCTGGCATTAAGATGTGCTTCCTTCTTCCTGTGCATTGAGGTTGGAGCTACTTGATGGTGCCTACGCAAGCCCTTTTCTCACTGCTTTGTAACTAGCAACATGAAGATCTCCTGCTGATGAAATATAGCGGAGAGCCAATGTGGCATAGCATTTGAGATGTTGGATCAGCAGAAAGACCCTTTCAAAGCTTTCCATCGCCATGGGAAATCACTGAATGGCTTAAAGCCAGCCTTCCATTTTAACCAAGCCTACCTTGCAGGGTTGCTGCTGCAGAGCTCCTGGAGGAAATGAAAACATAGAGTTATAATTAATGTTGGGGGGGGCAACTGCGATATGCATTGATGGTAGCAGTAGGCAGGATTTGTCAGGCTGACTTTCCCCCCTTCCATCATCTATCCAGGCCTTTATTATCAGGGGAGTGGGAGGAGGGAACTGGTGTGAATCTCACGGAGAATGTCTTTTTCCTCACAGATCTGCCAGATCAATTTGGAAGGAAAGACATTCTATTCCAAAAAGGACAAGCCGCTGTGCAAGAGCCACGCTTTCTCCCATGTGTGAGGCGGAAGAGACCTTAAAGTGCCCAAGCTGCTGCCTGCCCAAACTCTGCATTCCTCTTTCCTGTCCTGAGAGAGCTCCCAGACCAGATGTCTCACTTGACCATTTTTCCCCATAGAGGGAAAGGGTAAAACGCTCAGGGTCCTTTTAGGGAGGTTTACAACTATTGTATTGTTTTTACCTAAACTGGTGTTCTTCCTATGTATTTGGCTTTTATCTCTTGCAGACTCCATCCAACTTGTTGAAATTGCTAGATATTTGGGGAGTTGAAGTCCAGGACTTCTAGAGGACACCAGCTTAGGGAAGGATACTGTAGAGTTCTGTGCCCATTTCAGCCAAAGAAAGAAAATCTTGAGAAGTTTCTCCCTAGTAAAGGAACCCAAATGATAGCATGCTTGAAAGAAAGCATCAGCTGGCCTTCCCCTGAAGTCATTAACTCAGTGAAAACTTGCTATTAATGCTCCAGGGAAAAGTGAGGGAAGGCAGCTTTCCCCAGAGTTCGCTAGCATTACTTTCTGTCCCCTTTGCAATGTAATTACCAACAATCCTCTGCCCTTCCTTCTCTGACAAAGCATTTGCAAAGGGCTTCTATAATCAGGTTGGCTCTGCCTTTTGCCCATTGGCATGTATTTCTAGCTATGTTGCTCAGTGAAATTGCTTTTTCCAAAAGAAAAAAGGAAAAAAAGAAAAAAAAAGCCCCAAACCCTAAATCTCTTTTCCTCCTAACCACTTGCTAGTAACAAAAATAAAAGCCCCCCTACCACAGAAAGTGAGTGGCTTATTTGAAGGATGGAGGTGTAAGTTTCCACAGACTAAGAAAAATCTTACTTCAAAGTACCGTACAGGAAAGAACAGTTTCAAGATCCTGCTTCTTCACACCAGCAAAAACTGCTTCTCCATCATGAGATGAACTTGGGACTCTATACTTAGGAACACAACTTTATATATACTGTAGCACAAAGCTTCTGAGGTCAGTGTTGGCCCCAAAGCACCCCTACCAAAGACCTAGTATTTTTTCTTTTGCTCTAAATGTATTTCTCAGAACTGTGCTGTTCAGCTAGGAGTCTGTGATTCCTCGCCACCTTTGATGCCCTAATAAAATACGTCTTTTAATTCTTCATCCTTGTGGGCTCTGATTGTTTAGGAGTTCCTAATGCTTGGAACATTGGAAGTAGAAAAATCAGATGCAAATAATGGACATTCAAAGCCCAGTGCTGTTGCTTTCTTTCTGTTCCTTGTCCTCCAATTGTACTTAGAGGAAATTTCAAGAGAGAGTAACTACTATTGCTGCAATTCAGAACCACTTATCTTATTTTGAAAAGCGACAACTAGCAAGCATCTTTTCATGCAATGATGATATTTTAGGTCTGCTGGGAATAATTCTCTTATAAGTAAATACCCTAATCTGGAACAAGGTGGACAGAATACTTTTACTATCATATGTAGACAGATTGTTTCTCTTCTGGCAATAGTTCAGTGAAAAATAAGCAGTCTTGGAGAATGAGAACCCCCAGCCCCCAGTCAAGTCTGTTTAGTGCAAAGGCTGTCCACCATTTCATAAAAATAATGGGAGAAGAGCCACAATGGGATCAAAAGGAGGAAGATACTAGAGTCAGCAAAATATGCTAATGTTGCTTGGTCAAAGTTTATGAAGATTCCTGGGAACATGGCACCTACTGAGGTATCATATACTTCATATACTTTGTTTGGAGATGAGGAAAGCTGCTCTTTTTGCTCCACTCCCCCACCATAAATTCTTCTATTTACAAATTAATTTATCCTTTTTAATGAATCACTGCATTATGCTTCATAAACTGGAGAAGTGTTTTCTGCACTTCCTTGTTTGAGATATATAGCATATGCCTGCTGTGATTATTTCAGTTTTGGTGTCTGCTTTGGGGGTCGTTTTGTTGTTGGATGTTACCTTTGTGCCTTTGATGATTATTGATCCTAATTTTTATGAAAGATTTATTGTAATGAGGCAACTTTTCAATGGAGCACATTTTTCTAGGCAAGCAAAGCCTCATCAAAAGCACACAGTAGATCAATGCCTTGAGGTCATTGTTTCAAAGAAAGTTGATCTATAAGTAGACTGTAAGATAGATGATAACAGCAGATTAGCACACATGGAAACTCTGTTAAACCCAATTCATTCATAATTGTTGCTAAGGGGTAAAGGCCACCTCAAATTGAATTTGACTCCTGGGGATGATATGGACATATTTTTGGAGCCGCAATATAGTTGTTTGCCATGACCATCTCTTAGGATATTTTTCAACTTCCATGATATTTCGTGCCAGTTCCCCCCACCCCCCTCCGCCCTTCTAATACTAACTAGACCAACCGTTACTCCTAGGATTTTTGCTTTATAAATATTTCGGAATATAGTAGTTTGGCAGAGCCTGGTTCTTCAGGTTTTTGTACTTGTTTTATTGGTGGTGGGGGGGGGGGGGAGAGATTTGCTTGTTGGGCTTTGGAAAGAGCAGATGGAACAAATGGGAATGTCAAGCAGGGACAATTAGTTTCTCCCTACTCTTCACCTTGTCCAGGTCATCTTACAGCTGCTCAGTTTGATTGCATTGCCACTAGAAACCACATGGGCTTTAGCTGAAGAAGCCAGGTGACTAGAAAAGAAATGCAGGGCCGAGGGAGAGAAAGCCTCTCACTTGATGGATTTTGCAAGGTGCCATGACAGCCCAGCTGCCACCCACTCATTATGGGAAAGAGCCTTTGTCTGACTTCACAGTCCCAGAAAATGACCTGGAGAAGCTAAACAGGAGGCAGACATCTTTCAAACAGGCAGACATCTAATGCCTATGAGAAATGCTGAAGAGTGATACGAAGAAAAATCTGGTAGGAGTAAGCATCCTGCATTTCCCCAAATGCAGCAAGCAGTGATGAACTTTAAAAAAACACAGGAGGGATCTATGTCATTTGGAGAGAGAAAAAAAAAACCCGCAGCTGCTCTTGTCTGTATTGATGCAATTGTTCTGATGTAAATCATCCCGGCTGAGGATGCCTTCCCTACTCAAATCTTTTCCCATCCTGATGATATCCAGATGTGCTGGATATGATTACCACCATCCACACAGCCATCAGGCCCGATGGACTTTGCAATGGGAAACACCCCAGAAGGTGCAAGATTGGGGAAGTTTCCGTTTTCCTTAATAGTTTATACTCTACTTTCCTGTGATCTGGACCAGAAAATGCAGTTTGGAACAGTCAGTTCCTTTCTGGCCAGTAATCGTGGGACAGATCAAAACCAGAAAGTTTTTTGTTTTTTTTTACAAAACAGCCTATTAGTGCTTGTGCAGAGTGCCGCTCCTGAGTGAAGTTCACCCCGAGGGCGCTCTCTATACAGCTCCCAAGCGGCTGCACGTAAGGAACAGAAGATCTGTTGGGATCGCCCATCTCCTACGCCCAAAACTTACACCTGAAGGCAGGCCGGGTGGGAAGGGCAGGGCAGGGCAGCTTCTTTCTTTCTCGTGCCGGCCGGACTCTGGCCAAGGCTTTAAGGGCTGCAAGATGGCTGATTCCGCGCACCCACGTGTGGAGAAACCGGGAGGCGGCGGTTTCTGGTGCTGAAGAGCCGGGGCAGGGGCGGGAGGGGGAGCCCGTGCTCCCGGCGCTAGGACCCAGCGCGCGCACAGGCGGAGCCTCTGCTCCTCGCCCGCCCGGCTCCCTCTCCGCTGCTGCAGTGTCTCCGAGGCAAGCAGGCAAGGCGGCCTGTCTTAATCCGAGCGCGGCTCCGGCACTGCTCTCTGCTCCCGAAAGCAGCATCCTTCCGTCGCCGCCGGCATGGCTGGCGTCAGCTTCAGCGCGAACCGCCTGGAGCTGCTGGCCTCATATCAGGAGGTGATCGGGGAAGACAGCCCCACGGACTGGTAAGCCCCCCGGAGAGCGGGCGATCCAGCTCTTTGTCCCCTCGGTGGGGAGGGGGGCGGTGGCTCCAGCCGCTTTGTACAGGGGGGCGTGGGCGGTGTCTGCCTGCCTGCTTTTCTCTGGGAAATCGCTCTCCCGCTCCTTCCCCTGCACGCTCCCCGTTTAGCCCCGGAGGATGATCAAGGGAATTCCGCGCCTCCCACCGGCAAGATGCTACTTGAACGTGGGACGGATTGGAGGGCGGGCGGGCGCAGCCGGAGGAAGAAGCCATTAGCAACCCCAAGTGGTGCATTGGCAACACCGCTTTGCCGAGCGAGGTGGGGCGACGGCTCCTTTTGTGGGATACAAGGAGGGCACCGGCTGAAGATGCTCCGACGGTCTTTTGTAGTCGGAGCGGAGCTGAAAAAAGACGCCCCTAACGGCAGCGCCCCATTTGGGCGAGGGGACCAGCCAGGGAAGCCGTCGCTTGCGGTTTGAGGCTCGAAGGCACGTCCTAGCAGTTGCGTCCGTCTCCGGACGCCCCCACCCCGGCACTTTGGCTCGGGCGGGGGCGGATCCCCTTCGCTCTTTCCACCTGCTCTGCTGCCTGCGCGGAGCTGTCGTAAGCCTCGCGGCCGTAGCCCCGCACAAGACAGCCCCAGGCCGTCATCTTGGAAGGCTGCCCCCTGCTGCGGTCATCCTAGAGCCCTTCGTGGCCTTGCCTTCCACTCTTTTCCCCGGGTTTTTTTGGGTGGGTGGGTGGGTGAAAGTTCTCCGATAGAGACCCGCTACACAAAGGAAGGTGGGGCCGGGCAAGGAGAGAGGCGGGGGTCTGAAGGCTTGAGGGGAGGGACTGGTGGACTGGGAGGGGGAGGGGGAGGAGGAGGAGGAGGGTCTGTGAGAGGAGTAAAGGGAGGCATCCAGAACTAGGTATCTCAATTCAAGAAATACTCGGCTCCAAACTGTGGGGCAGCCTTTCATCCTAGCTGCTGAGGCCTGGGTCTGCAGAAGAGGGGAATTTTGTGTGTTTTAGGCCTTTTCTTCTCTGTGGCAGAGGAAGCCTATAGGAGTCTCTGTAGCCATGGCGTACCATTCAAAGGCCTTCAGAGGCGTTGGTCAAGAGCCTTGAGGCTACTCCTTCCCAGAGCAACCTTGATTTGAAGGCTGCCTGTGGAAGCCGCCTCCTTACAAAGAGACAACACAATTGGCATCTGCTCCATTTCTGCAGTTCCCCCCCCCAATAGGATGGAGTAAGGCAGGTTTTGATAATGAGACTTATTCATATTTCTAGCTAATAGGTATTCGCAGCTCTGAAGCAGAAGGAATCTTCCCTTTATATCTCATTAATCATTTTCAGAAATTTAAAGCAACTTTTGTTTCAGAGGCCACTGAAGATTACTCCCAGGCAGTTTAGTATGTGTACTTTCTAAGGTGCAGGCTTGACTGGAGAAGTTCAGATAGTCCCCTAAATCAAGGCACCAATACTGCATTTAGCCTGAAATTATAGAAGAGTTAATCTGTTACCTATTATGCAGTTTAAAAAAGGGAGGGAGGGGGAAACTGTTTTTTAGTCTTTAAAGCAATGGTGGCCTATTATCCTCTATGGGTGTTTTGAATAGGTCTCTCTTTTTCAGCATCAGTTCCCTACTGGTGAAATCCAGCATTTACTCTTACTCTTTTATTTAGATAAGTAAATTAAGGAACAATAGAAAAAATGTTTTACTATACATATGTGACATAAGTGACTGCTGCTGACTGGATTCCATCCACTGTAGGCTTCACGATATTTTCTAATGCACCTCTGTGGACTTAAGCTTTTTTAATAATTTATATAATCCTGTATTTGTCTTCATAGCAGCTTTTCCCATTTGGATGCCTTCCAGATGTACTGCTATTACCTTCTTATTCCCATGCAGCTGGGTGATAGTTGGGAAAATAGATAGAAAAGTACTTTAGAATTTAAATGTAAGTGATTAAAGTTCTAGGATTCCCATGAGGCTTTATTTACTTTGCATATTGATCCTCACATTTTCAATGTTTGTTTTGTTTTAATGCAGGGTTTCCCCTTTCTGAAAACAGTTTCTTGAATCTCCTGAGCCTGCTACATCTCTCCCTCCCTATCTGCCAGGAAGACTGTTCCCTCTGTCATTGTTGGGGTTCTCTTTCCCCACTCAGGTTGCTTGAAAGCTCTTGCGTACCCCATAAAGTATAATTTTAGCAAGAGTGCCATGCATACTGTGATAAAAAGTAAAATCTCCAAGTTGAGCTTGACCCCTAATGATTTTACAGATACCTCCATACAGTTTTTATGGCAACAGCAATGACGTAGTTTGCCATTGCCTTTTTCCTGGATGTTTTTTTTTTAAACTTCCCAGTTTAGCCTCCAGCTCTCATAACTGATACCTTTCTATCCAAACTCTAACTTGGCTTACCTATGCTTGGTTTCCAAACCTAGAGAGAGCCAGCGAGGTGCCAACATTTTTTATTTCCTCCTTCCAAATCTTACACATGTGCCATTGTGTAAGATGGTATCTTTTATTTTCTTTGGTCTTCTTGGCAGGATATGACTTCTGGTTCAGAAGCTGAAGCCAACCCTGTTCTGTGCTTTGAACTTGATCTGCCCCTACTCCTCCTCATCTACTACAATGTCTTTGAAGCTGCCCATATCATCAGCACATTGATTGCAGAAGGACAACTAGTTCTTGTCATCTCCTGCTGAGCCATGAGTTTTATATTCATTTCTGGAAAGGAAGATGGTAGACATGGCTTTCTGGGGATATTAAAAGCCTTCATCTGTGCTTTACTTTTTTCCAACCTATTAGTTTTCTTCCCCTTTTAGTGCTCCTATTTTCTTCCCTACCATATGCACACACACACCATGTGCCTCATAGGGGGAGGTCTTCTTTCTTTGAAGCTCACTCTTCTTCTTCTCTTTCCTCCATAGCAGAAGGTCTCCAGCTGTTCTTTTGCCTACTTCCTTCCCTTTCAAAGCCCAAACACTCCGAGACCCTCCTCCCTGGCTCCAACTTGGAAGCTAGGGCCTCATGGACTGCTTAGCCGGAGACGCTGCCTATAAATCATTATACATCCACTTGCTAACAATAAAGAGGCAGCTGGAAGAGCATATATAGTATGGGTAGGGTTTGTGGTAGGAAGTGGAGAAACAACAATGGGAAATGATCACAGCATTGTATGAAAGAAATTCTATGCTCAGAAAATCATGAATTTGCAACAGAAGGAAAAGTTTGCTGCAAAATGAGTTAAAAGCAAGCAAAGACTATATAATATATCAAATACACTCATTCCTTTGTTCTGTTCCCACTGTCAGAAATTAAGCTGTCAGCTTTTTAGGATAGTGGCCTGTCATTTCCTCTTCCCACATACTTTAAAATTGTGAAATTAATAATACTGCCTAAGTAGCAACACTAATTGGGAGAATTAGAGAAGGGGCAAATTACATTCATGGGATCTACCATGAAAAAGCTGTATCTCTGGGAGAGCAGGCTATTTGGGGTGAGTGGGGGTGAGGTAATAGTGATCAACATGAAACTGCTGTCAACAGCTTAGGGAGCAGGTAAAGGAATCAACATGATAGAAAATCCCTTGAATCAAAGATGGGGTCATACCTAAAGCATAAACTTCTATAAAATTAGGCAGTGTTGCAACAATGTTCATGGATTTGCTCCTAAGGAAAAAACTCTTCTCTAAAAAGAGAGCACAAAATATACCCATAATAGAAGTAGTGCTGCTGTGTTTTTAAAGACAAGACTCATGTGATTTTGATCTCTCCAGAAATGTGTGTGGCTGGATTTTGTAGGGAGAAGTCCATCTTGAAGTCAGTCAGATTTGGTGGCTTGGCAGTTATTTTACTGGCTTTTGTGACATGACATACTTAAGCTCTTTCTCAAGCTTCTTGAAATTAGAGAGATTCCTGGATCTTTATTATAAGCAGGCAGGCAAATAGTGCATGCTAAATCAGAATTTAAAATCCTGTCATGACATTAATTCTGCCCTGTAAATCAGTTTTTGAAGATGGCATTAGCTATCAAGTAAACCCCTCCCTGAGCTTTCAGAGATGCTTTCAATTATTATACCAGTGCTCTGTGAGTTGGTCGGAATTTAATTAAAGATATTTGCTGCTAACCAGCCTCTCTCCTCTGGTCCCATTGATCCAGCTACCACCCTCCTTTTTGAGGCTCGAGTAAGAATATTAAAATCTCTGTTAATTTGCTGTTGGATTCTGGAATTATATCCTTGCAATTTTTCAAGATTTTATTACCATTTGTATTTGCATTGTTGTACTAGCCATCTTTTCCCAGCTTTAGGCCATTTTATCTCCTCCTTCCAAAGAACCTGGGGTGGCATTTTATACTCCTAATAACTGTATGAATTAATAAAACTGATCACATGTATCAGTGGTCCTAATAAAATCTTAATTGTGCAGGGATCTGAACTTGGGGATCCTCTGCCTTACCATGATCTTAGTTCCATGCCCCATTTTTGGCTCTCCTTTCTTTCTCCATTTGCATTAGTTTTCCATTCATGCTGCTATCCTGGCCCTGAGATCTCTCTCCCCTGTTGGCTGGCCTTCCTTTGTCCTCTTGAAGCATTTTCATCCGGCTTGCTCTCCAAGGCTGCTGGGCGGGAACAGCCCCTTCTACCCAATGCTGCAACCAAAAGTCTTTTTCCTCTTGCAACATGCCGCTTCCTCCTCTAGCATTTTAAAGCCTTTCCCATTTGGAACCCAACATTGGATTCTGCCCAGATTTTCTGGGTTGAGTCTCATCCGGTTCACTCTAGTAGTGAAACAGAGAAGGGATGATATCACTGAAGCTGAGAACCTGTAGCGAAAGAACCCTGATGTGTGGCAGCTGCAGAGATTTAGGGGTAGACTGTAGGGTTGAAGTATGGTGGAATTACGGAGGCTGGGTTAGCTTTGATGAATTTGGTAGGATGAAATTGGGAAGCCACATGGCTCAGCAAAATTGGGTGTGTCTATAGGGCTCTAAATGGCAAGAGTGAG